GACGTTCCAATATATTTTCACATGTTATACGTGGAACTTTTACATTATAAATTACATAATCTTGTTTTTGTATTGATATAATTAATATAAAAACAAATATATGTAATGTCTGTATCTTGTATTAATAATAAGATATTTTTTAAAATTAGTTTATATTTTCGTAACTTTTTTAAAAAAAATATACAAAATAAAATATAAATAAAACATAGATAAAAATAATAATGACGTAACCAGTATCCTTTTTAATCATTCAAAGATATAGACATAGTGCAGCGAATTTTACCCAAATTACATTAACATTTATAAATTCTATTAATCACACTGCACTTAAATTAGAAGCACACCTAAATCAGAATGCCATACAGAGCAAAACACACGTCGACCGTTACTACATTAGTTAAATGTTGCTAAATTGGATGCCAAGTCACCAACAACTGACTAAAGAGAATCTGAAAAGCAAGATAGGATTTGATGGGTCATACGTAGAGTGTTACTAGAACGAGCATAAGGGATCCACTACTAATGAAGCAAGCATATATGTTGTCCAGAAGATTTCTAAAGCACATAGAACAGTTAAACTATCTAGTTTTCGCAATGCTACGATTGTGCCGCCACAAACGTTGGTTCTGTCACGATTATTCTTGATTTGGAGTACCTTCATAGGTCATAGCTCAATCGTCGTGTCCTAATAGCGTCTTCTTCCACAGGCTGACATTTGTTGAGTTTTCTCAAATTGAAATTGAAGACTTGTAACTACTGTGCAAAATTGGCAAATACCAATCCCAATAATTAGTTGCAGTTATTTTTAAGATTTTAGGAGATTGATATTTTTGAAAGGATATCCCAAAAATATGGCATTTCTTAAAATTTCCCAATAATAATACAAAATTTTAAATAAATATATAGATTTTTTTTTTTACATTTCTAACTATGTATAAAACTATAATGATCATATTATCTGAGTTCAAATTAACATAAATAGGTAAAACAAAACATTCAATGTATTTTATTTTGAATATAATTCTTTAAAGAAATAAGATATTTTCTTTTGACTATAGATTTATAGAAAATAAGTTGAAAGATTATATTATTTTCCAACTTTGACCAGGAAAAATACCATTTAAGTATATTTGTGTTATTATATATAATCAACCTAAGTAAAAAAGAGCTCACTAACAAACATACAGAAAAAAAGAAAACGAGAATATAAAACAAATGGCTATCACCAAAAAAACTCTAATCGCATTTGTTTTCACGGTCGTTTTCATCATATCCTATGTTCATTGTAATACAATAACTGCTAGCTCCCCAGGTATGGGTGGACCTGCAGATGCAATAGGTAAACAATACCAACTATTTAGTAGTTTTGAGCAAACGTTTTTTTTTTTAATAACCCAGTATCCAGACCACACAGTGATCTGACTAGCCCACTGGGCCTAAGCCCGCGTCACAGGGATTTTTAAGCCTCCACTTAAGGGCCCCCTGATAAACTGGTGGTCTGGGGCGCCTGAGCAAGTCCGCAGGTAAATTCCCAGGTGGCCACAGGAGTGAGAGAGCGAAACTGCGTCTGGGGAGGATCGATCCCTGGCCTAGACCAACAGGGCGATCCTTCCAACCAAACGAGAACCACTCGCCCACCACCATGTGGTTTTGAGCAAACGTTTTAAATGACCTATTTTAATTTTTCTGTTTGCATCCTCTTTCGCTCTCGTTTCACTTAAAGATAAAAACGTTCATACTTTGTTTCCTTCTTATTTTATCTCATCTACTACAAAATGAGCAAACAAATCAGAGCAAAGAATCATATTTCCATTTTATATTTGATTTTGTATGAATTAGTGATTTCTTATAACCCAATTTTTAGTTATGAACATGATTTTGTCCTTCTAAAAATAAATATCCATATTGATATACTGATATATTTATTAATAAATAGGTCATGGAATTGCAAAGCATCGGTTTTGCTTCAGACTAATGGCGTGTCATTCCGCAGGGCAACTAGGTTGCCTTGTGTTTTGTCAAGAAGCCGAGTATTCTTATGGCACATGTAATGATAGAGGAATTTGTTGTTGTAGAGATTATATATGATAAGAATGCGTTCAAGGTGAAATAATCCAACCAAATGCTATTATATCTGCCTAGAAATAACATCAACAGTTTTCATATGTTCTCAATATATATCTTCTTTTTTTTTGATGAAATGTGAAATCTCAATATATATCTTCTATATAGTAAAAGAGAGTTTTTGGCGCTTATGTGTCAAGCGCACAATTATTCTCATCTTTTGTTTTTTTTTGAGTTCTACTATCCATCTTGCCAAACATTTTAACTCCATATATTACTTATTCTTATTATCTAAACTTAGAATTTTTAAAATACTCAAACTTCTATATAAAGCTTCTTTTACATTAAATGCATTTTGTTTTTTTTTCAATTGAGAAAAAATATAAACAACATAAACATATAGTATATGCATTTTAACATCAACAAATTCTTTCATATATTATAAACGTTTAAATTAAAAACGTAAATCTATAATTCTAAATGTATGAATGACGTAAATATAATTTATTTGTATAAAATAAATTATTAAAATATTTAGAATTAAATTTGTAAGTTTATTTATATTCGAAAAAGTCGTGTTATTGCATGGTATATATATAGTATTATTTGAATTTAAAATATTTTACCACATTTACATAATTTATTTTTGCCATATCGAGATTCAATTAAAATAGACGACTTTGAGTTATTTTTTAAATCATTTTAGCCATGCACGTCACGGGTTCTTACATAATATATATAAAAGATCTAGAGCAAAATAAATAAACTCTACCATATCAATGGTAGTTTGCTTAAAAAAATTAGTGATATTTTTTTTTTTGCATTTGAACGAAATCTAAAACAAAATTGAAATACATTGTAATAAATATTAGATGGTCTAATACGTTTATACTTGCTATACGCGATCCATTTGGTAAATCTGTTGTGTTTCAATAACTTTGGGCCTATTTATACAATACATAGTTATACGAAATTTGTTATTTAACTATGTAAATTTGTTTTCTCTAATATATTTGGGCATATTTATACTAAAAAATAATTGTATGGATCTTTTAATAATTTTGAGCCTTTTAATATAAAAAAATTTTTTAAATAAATGTACAACCATTTTTTGATGTAAAAAAAATGATATGTAGAGAAAACAAATTACTTATATAACTATGTATATAACAATAAATATCATGAGCCAATGTCAAGGGGAATTGTTTTACTTATATAACTAAGTAAGAAAATCATTCTATTTAGTTTCTTTTGACTATAATTCTATAAGGAAATATTTTCCCAAAAAAAAAAACAATTGTCAACATCTTTAATAGATTAACTCAAATGAGCTAATGATGAGGGTTATTGTTTACAGTACGAACAATTTATGCCAAAACAAATCTATAAGGAAATAAATTGAAAGAATAAGTTAATTTCCTTTGATTATAAATCTATAAGAAAATAAATTGAAAGATTATATTATCTCCCAACTTTGACCAGGAAAATTACCATTTACATATATTTGTATTATTATATATAAGCAATCCAAGTAAAGAAGAACTCATTGACAAAAAAAAAAGAATATAAAAAATGGCTATCTCCCCAAAAACTCTAATCGCTTTTGTTTTCAGCGTCATTTTCATCATATCTTATGTTCATTCTCATACAACAATTGAAAGTGCCCCAGCGGATGGACCAACATACGCAATAGGTAAACTATATCAACCATTTAGTAATTTTTAGCCAAACATTTATGTTAATTTTTCTGTCTCCATCCTCTTTCACTCTAATTTGACTCGAAGATAACACTTTCATTCTTCATTTCCTTTCTTATTTATTTTTATTTACATTTATACAAAATGAGCAAACAAATCAAACCAAAGAATCATATTTCGATTTTTATATATTTAATTTTGTATGTATTGGTATAGTCTTGTACAACATTTTTTTAAAATTATGAACATGTTCTCGTTCTTTTGAAAATGAATATCCATAATGATGTACTTATTTTTTTATTAATTAATAGATCGTAGAATTCCGGAACCCCCAGAGACTTGCTTCAGAACAACAGCATGTTTTGACGAAGGAGCCATAGGTTGTATTGTGTATTGTAGAGAAGCCCATTTTGATTATGGCGTGTGTATACCACAACGATGTTGTTGTTATAGGAAAGATAAGAATGTGTCTGATGTGAAATAATCCAAACAAATGTAATTGTATCTGCTTGAAGAATAACATCAACAGTTTTCATATATTCTCAATATCTAAATAAAATATCTAGAGCTAAATAAATAAATTTACCAAGTCTATTTGTCAATCTTTATCAAAAAAAAAAAAAAAAAAAAGAAGAAGAAGAAGTCTATTTGTCAATTAAATAATAAGGTCTTTTGGATGCACTATATTTTTCCAAACATGGTCGATCCAATGTTTTCGGATGTCCTACCCAAAAAGAAAAAAAGTATATGGGTTTAATAATAGTTCCTAAATATTTGGATGAAGACAGTGATTGATCACTAAACCTACCATTGGTTTCGACCAGACTGTGATAGAGTGACCAAACCAGTGCTGACCGCTCAATCTGATCTGGCGTTTGATTAAGTTATTTACTTCTACTTAATCCAAGTTTTAGAAGAATGTTTTTTAAAAAAAGATGTATGTTATTTATGTTCTATGCATAATTAGCTCTATATTTTCTATTATGTCTTTATTTATTTATTTTCTGTTTGCTTTGAAATTTATAATTACTTGATAAAACAAGGTTATAAATGTTATCTCAAAAAACTCATGAATATGTGTGAAAAAACCTAACTTGGATTAGTTAGGAGTCCTAACTTAGGAACATAAACAAAAGTTGCAAAACATCATGAATGATTATATGTTGGTTATGCCCCCTCCCTAAATCCTCCATCCACCACTCCTTTATAACCTATAAATATATAACAGCATTTCGTTAGAAATTTAGTTACATTCGCATTAAAATCTTAGTTTCATACATCATGGCCTTGATAGCTCCCACAATAACTTCACTTCCTTGTTCTGTTTCAAAACATTCAAACAATCCTCCAACGTTTCTGATCTCGAAATTTCACAATGCGGTCGCTTCATCATCGTCTGCAAAAACTGCTAACAGAATGCTCTCGAGCTATGTCTACTCTCCGGTTTCTAGCACTTTGAAGAAGTTTGATCACAAGACATCCATAGTATCTACACATATATCCTGTGTCGTACTTGCTTTGTAAATCACACCATTTTTATAAAGAACGTGTTTTTTTTTTCTTGTAGGAATATTCACACAAATTGAATATCAAGAAGGTCAAGAACATACTAGTTTCAAACCGAGATGATCCATTTGAGAACTTGGAGATGATAAATGCCATTCAAGGTTTAGGCATTGATCTCTATTTCCGACACGAGATCGATCAAACTCTTCACATGATATACAAAGAACCCACCCATTTCTACGGACGTGATCTTCGTGAGGTCGCGCTTTGCTTTCGATTGCTGAGACAAGAAGGTTACTATGTTCAAGAAAGTAGGTGATATAAAACGTACACACACATATATATGTACTTACTAAATTGCTCATGTGATATAAGCGTATCTCAAGTCATGATGCTCATAAAACATTTAGGTATTTTTAAAAACATCCTTGACAAGAAGGGTGGATTGGAAGACAACCCAAAAAATGACGTGAAGGTTCTAATAGAATTGTATGAAGCTTCCGAGCTCCGTGTAGAAGGCGAAGAAACACTTGATGGAGTGAGAGACTTTACATTTAACTGCCTTAATGAACTTTGCTCAGGTCGAAAAAGTCATCAAGAGCGAGAGATAATGAGTTCTTTGGCGCAACCTCGCCACAAAACCTTAAGAAGATTAACATCAATAAGGTTCATGAGCATGATCAAACTTGCTGGTCAAGAAGATAAAGAGTGGTTACAATCTCTTTTACTAGTGGCTGAGATTGATTCCATTAGGTCGAAGTCCCTGATTCAAGAAGAAATGTCTCGAATATTCAAGTAAACACCCTGAAGATCGATGTTAACTTTATGTCAAAATGTGAATTCGATATAAGATTCATATTTCGTTTCTGAATTTTCAGATGGTGGAGAGAGCTTAATTTAGAAAAAGAGCTGAAGAAGGCAAGAAACCAGCCATTAAAATGGTACACATGGTCCATGGAAATTCTTCAAGATCCAACCTTAACCGAACAAAGGCTTGATCTTACAAAACCGATATCGCTTGTTTACGTTATAGATGACATTTTCGATGTTTATGGAGAGCTAGAAGAACTTATCATCTTCACACAAGTTGTTGAGAGGTACATATAAACTACCATATATGTTATGTTGATTCACATTTTTTTTTAACTCTGTCAATGATAATTAAAATATTTGTCTAGATGGGATCATAAAGGGCTTGAGACACTGCCGAGATACATGAAGGTTTGCTTTGAAGCTCTAGATATGATCACAATGGAGATTAGCATGAAGATCTGCAAATCACATGGTTGGAACCCAACAGACGCTCTTCGAAAATCGGTAATTATCATTCAAAACGTCATGTGTATATATTTTTGCATCATATATAGCTCAACTGGTTCAAACCTATTTACAATACGATGTCTTTGTTTCTCAGTGGGCAAGTTTGTGTAAAGCATTCTTGATAGAAGCAAAGTGGTTTCATTCGGGTTACTTACCGAATACTGAAGAGTATATGAAGAATGGGGTTGTGAGTTCAGGTGTTCATTTAGTGATGCTCCATGCCTTCATCTTGTTAGGCGAAGAACTAACAAAAGAGAAAGTCGAACTAATTGAGAGCAACCCGGGGATTGTATCATCTGCAGCTACAATTCTCAGGCTCTGGGATGATCTCGGAAGTGCCAAGGTTATATTGAACTACTGATACTACTGAATAGAGAATCTGAAAGACTGAAACTTGATATCGAATCTTAGAGATTGTTGTGTGATATTACAGGATGAGAACCAAGATGGAACTGATGGATCATACGTAGAGTGTTACCTGAATGAGTACAAGGGATCAACTGTTGATGAAGCAAGAACACATGTTGTCCAGAAGATATCTAAAGAATGGAAACGCTTGAACAGGGAGTGTCTGAATCCAAGTCCATTCTCAAGATCATTCTCCAAAGCTTGTCTCAACATTGCAAGAACAGTTCCTTTAATGTACAGCTACGATGATGATCAACGACTTCCCGGTCTCGACGAATATCTCAAGTCTCTAATGTAAAAAAGTTCCCTTTGACGCTCTGGATATAAGCAGTCTGTAACTCTTTATATAAGACTACAAGAACTTTGATCTGAGTAAATAAGTCCTTAAAGGTCAGTAAACAACTTACTCAGGTACAAAGGATAAAAGATGTACATAAGATTACATACCGACATGCAAGACATACACTAAAAACTACTCAGCGAGGTATGGACTAATTAACCTGGAGCTTACTCGCGTTTTCCCTCTTCAACGTCATCTGGAAGCCCAAATAGAAGTTCATTTCTTTCAACATCTTCTGTACTCTTAATTCCACTACCTGTCAATGAGATACCTTCCTCTTCAAACTCGTCCCCTGTTTCCGCTAAGTATGAGTACCTGCAAGGTTTAAACCAATTAGAGGTAAGCTGAGTGCAAAATGATAATATCTCAGTGAAGACCAAATAAGTGCCTTGAATCTTGACATCTTTGGCAGTTGACCCATTGGGACCATCGAAGTCCAAAACATTTGAGTAAATGTTAATAAAAAGTATTAGAACCTTGTAGGATTATTGGATGGTGCCCAAAGGATGCAGATGACTGCTAACAGACCATAAGAGAGTATATTCCAAAAAGCTGGAATAATCCACGCCATTCGCCAGAGTTCGATTAGAGGGTCAGTTCCGTTGAAGTAAAGCTAATATAGAGATAGAGAAGAATGTGATTTCAGTTACACTCCTCTGACTTGGGGTTTCAAGTTATACACGAGAGACAGTCACTAGAGTAGCGATTTGTTACCTCGAAACCAATCCAAGCAATAGAGAGCAGAACAGAGATAGCGAGTGCATTGGTGAAGTTCCTATAAAGCTCAAGCTTAGCCATGTTTCTCTTAATCTGCAGTGAATATTAGACATATAAGCAGCTAAAAAAAAGTAAGAAGAACTGGATCGTTGTAGATGGCTTAAGCAGCTACTGTATCTGGTTTTCCCTAGTAGCATAATAAGCAGCCACAGATTGGAATCTAAGATAACATGGTTAAAATCCTTGAAATCCTATAGTATATATACATCCTTAGGATATAGTAATGTGACAGATCATGAGTATTCAATATTCGTATATGCTAATGATGAATAAAGAAATCCATTCGATATAAGTGTGGTATCTTACCTGAAGTTTCTCAAGGGTTCTTGCCAATGATGAGAAAATCCACAGAATAAAGCAAGCATCCAGTAATGCCACGGGAATCACCAAAACTATCATTGTCTTTCCCGAAAAGTCATTGATGTTTCCCAAATGCTCAACCAACTCAAGAGCCTCCGTTGCAACAAAATATATGACTCCAAGAAGAAGTACCCTCGAGGTTATACCACCAAGGGTAGGCTTTACAACCCCATAACCCATAGAGACAACCAGAAGAAGAAGCCTAGAAAGCGTCTTTTTAATAGACGAAAAGGTCACCGCCCATAGAGTAACGTCCATTGGCCTCATCCCAGTCGAGTTGAAATTAACATATTCAAAGTATCGAACAGCCATTTCACACATACCAAGAGCAATAACCAAAGTGATATGATAATGCAGCTGAATTATATCCTTCCAAGACTGAACAAACCGCACAAACCAAACTAGGCCAAGCAAAACATACGCTAACGACATAAACCCAAAAACTTTCATTAAAGGAGCCACCTTTCCAGGTAGATAACCATCAGGGTTCTTCCAAACTGTTCTTCCTCTGATTCTAGTACCATCCAGTTCCGGATCACATATCATGAAATAAAGATAATACATCCCAGTCTTATTAATAACCACAGTTTCAGGGGACATAGTAACTTCAGTCTTATTCCCTTTAAAGAAAGTCTTGATCTGTCTTGGCCATTCAAGATCATTAGACTCTCTATTAATAATAACTTCCCCAAGACTACAAGATCCAGTATCAGCAAGCTCAGGCGTGCAACAAATCGCTTCGGATTTAAGAAAAATGCCACCGATTCTATCACGGTCTTTTACCTCAAGTATAATTGCTTCCACCAATCCAGCAGTTGACTGCATTGCATTCTGTTTACTAGCTGATTCCTTTGTCCTCACAAAAGTTACATCATCAAACCTAAAACAACGAGCAATAGTAAAGACAAATCAAACCAAGAGGAAGCATAAAAATCAGTAGATTTCCAAAGGTACAAACTTGAGAAGAAGTGGAAACTGACCTGATAAAGGACTTGCCTTTAAAAGGATTATCAGAAGAAGAAGAGTTTAGATCTTGAAATTTGGAAGCGTAAAGACCTTCACTACCACCATGGAAGAAGCGAGCATTGAATTTGACAGTGAACTTTTCGTTGTTGTACGAATGAATTGAGCCATTCGTAGCTCCGATTAAGCTACCGACGAGCAAAACCCCAATAGCCCAAAACCCTAAAGAACGAATCTCCATCGAAATATCCGATCAAATCCTCAAATCTAGTTCAGAGATGAAGAAACGGAGAAGATGCTCATCGAAGATTGTTTGGGTTCACCTGTCACAGACACGATTACTTAAAAAACTAGAATTGATCATACCAAAATATGTCACAGTTTTAATAAAGAAATATTTATTTATTTTATAATGTATTAGAATTATTAATAAAATCAAACGAGATTGATGTTTTCAAAATTAGACAAATCTTACAAATAGCAAAATTATAGCTTTTATTTTCAAAAGTAACACACATTTTCAAATGTTTTTATAAATAGCACAAATTTAGTGTTAAAATACTAAAATATTTTTGTTTATGAAGTTACTTAATCATCTTTATATTTTAGCATTAAATTTTCTAATTCGAAATCAATTCTTTCTAAACATTGGTTTGTAAAAAATTAAAACAATAAATTATATATAACCTTCGTATATATTTTTTGGTAAAAACACTTATATATATAGATATTTCTATATACCTTTATTTATATACATATATATAAGTCTATTTGTAAGCAATTAATTGTACTATACATATATATAATGCATGTGTATCTATATATATATATATATATATAATTTTTAATAAAAATCAATAAAAAACATTTACCCATAACTACACATTCCAATTGAACTCAAAGATTTGGTGATTCGAAAAATAAATCGATTAGAATTCCTATATGTTTTACAAAATATAATTTAAAAAAAAAACACAATATAATTTTTAAACATAATGAAAATTTTGATAATCTAATTTATTTTTTGCTATTCATAAAATTAAATAGCATTAAATTTACCCGTGCTACCTAGTTGTTAAATATTTTAGGGAAATCTTACTTAATTGTTGAAAAGCTTCCTAAATAATATGTCTTAGAAAATTTATGAACTAGGTAAAAAAAAAAAAAAAAAAAAATTATGAACTAAAGTCATCAATATTTGAAGTGTTCCAATTCAAATCACTAAATTATTGAAAAGAATCATAAAAATGTAATCTCATGTCACTATGATGTAATAGGAAAACATCAATTAATTTTTAAAAAGTTTTCTGAATAAAGGTAAAATAGTTGCTGTCAAAAAAAAAAAAAAGGTAAAATAGTTATTGTATCAACAATTTATGTTAAGTTTATAGGGTGTGTGGTATTAATTATCCCCAAAACTCATTTTGATGCACTTTTAAGGCATTTCTCTTTAAACTTTATTGTTTCGTAGATATATCAGTTAACCAAAACAGCACACATACCACGAGCAATAACCAAAACGGTATGATAGTGCAGCTGAATCATATCCTTCCAAAATTGAACAAAACTACACAAACCAAACTATAAAGTATTTGAATCTTGAAATTTGGAAGATTAAAGACCTTTGCTACTGACATGAAAGAAGATAGTATTTAGTTTTATAGTGAATTTTTTGTTCTTGTACTCTTGAATCGAGCCATTCCGAGAGCCAATGAAGTTTCCAACGAGCAAAAGCTCCAATCGCCCAAATTTTTAACGATCAAATTCGCATCAAAAAATTTGTTAACAGAAAAAATATTAGGTTATTCAATTTCAGCTACCATTTTATCATTTAAGAATTTTAAATCTATATAAATTCTAGAATCAAGTGGTGAAATAACCATAAAGTCAAATAAAAGTCGTGAAAACATGTTGACTAAAGAAATTTGATTAATAATATAATGTGATATTCAACACTAAAGATTCCAAAGATGTTATTAAAATCGCATATAATAACTAACATATATCACAGTGTAACACGTATTGACATAAATCAAGGATGGAAAAGTATTTGATAAGATTTGATATCTAATCCATATTATTCAATAAAGAAAAAAGAATAAGCATAGTTCGTACTAGTTTTAAAAATATATGGATCTGATATGGATATGTTTTTATAAATAAATATATAGAAAACTATTATGATATATATTTTTTCTCTATATCAAAATAATTGATGTTTTGGAGAAATTTTTGTTTGAAATTAATTGATGTTCTTATTTTTCTATGAAATTTTTATTTATGACTATTTGTATATAGTTTATTTATCATTTGTTGAATTATGGTTACATAGATGATAAATTAATGTTTTCATATACAGTAACATTTTAATATTTGTGTAAAAATGTGAAACATCATTTATTTTGATTCAAATGTGTATTTTATCCGAAATATCTACCTGATTTTAAAGATACTCTTCTTATCTAAATATTAGTATCTACAATTTTATAATCCGTCAGTTGTGTTTAGGTTAACAGCTGTGATTGCCTGTTTGGTAAAAAATGCAGCTTCCATCCAAAGCGTAATTCTATGTCAATGATTATGCTAGAGGATAATGATTAAATCAAAAACATCATTTTCAAAAATTAAAGCAAAAGTTAAATAAACAACTAAAGTACTCTATATTCCCTCCATATAAAGAAAATAAAATAATTGACAAGTGACAAAATTGATTACTTTATGGACCCCATAGTTTATACAAAGTTCCAAAATTTTCCCCCTTTCTTTCCAGATTTTACACATATTTCCCGACACTTTCCACTTTTTCCCAAACAACCCCAAAGAAAAAGGTAACAGAAGAAAAAACACATTTTTTTGTTCAAGTTTCAAAGAGAGTAGTTTGAGTTTTGAATCTTACACACCCCAAAAAAAAAAACACATTCATCTCTTGAGCTGAATATCCATCTTGCTTTTCTCTAACTTCTCTATTATAGATCCTACAAAATAAAAACATATAATTAGCATTAAGAAAATATACAATTCAAGATCACATATGTTACAAATAAATAAATAAAACACTAAAACGTTTTGAGGAACAAACTTTAACTCACCAGGAGGATAACAAACAGGAGGGTCTTCAAAGAGAGAACGAGAGATTTGTTTATGAGCAACACCGATATCGAAAAGAACAAGTCCAGAAGAAGGATCATTCACTGCAATGCCTTTAACAGGTAACCAAAGAAAAAGCTCTTCTTGTGTCAAACCTTCAAGTCCAACAAGCCCACCATAGCTTAGATTTGCTCTAATCACACGATCAAAATATACTCTGTTTTCGAACCGAGCGAAACAAGGATTCTGTAGCTGAACTTCGAGCTCTCCTGTCTTATCATCTAGACTATAACTCTTCACGTTATCTGGAAACAAACCACCTGGTAAACCACGAGCTTCGAGGAGGTTTCGAATCGATGATTGCGAAGATGGAGTAATGAATTGGACAAGAAGTAGAAGAAGAAGAAGCAGAGACATTTTTTTCTTTTTAGTGTGATGGTGAGATTTGTGTTTTTGAAGGGTTTAATGTTTGGTGCTCTGTTTTTGTCAAAAGAGTGGAGGAATGAGTTGTCTTTTTTAGCTTATGAGCTGGTTACCAATGAGTTATGTTTTGTGATTATTTCAAAAATTCATATATTTAAATAAATTTTTGTACCATGTTAATGATTTAAAAAACAATCCACTTAATTTTGAATAATATTATTATCTGTATAGTCTCACTATTTGAAATTATAGTCTTTTGCCTTAAGTAAAGCCATGTTGAACTAATTGACGTTGTAACATCCGCAAATCACGGTTTGTTTCCGGGAAACATTATTATGGAATATCATTTTCTTAAAACATAAATTAGTGGATTTTAAGTACCAATCATGGTTAAGTGTATCACACACATTATTCATATTTTAATCTCTTTTTATCCACTTAATTTTGTTTTGTTTTACACTTTAAACGACGATAAGGATTGCAAAAAAAAATCACATATCTAAAACAAAATCCAGACTCATTCCAACAGTAGTAACTCATTAATTGTATTGAATTATAAACTTCTCACCAAATTTCACCTACTAATTTTGATTATTAAGTATCTCTGCTATTGAATTGTCTAAAAGAATATTGTTACTTCTCTTCTTTTTAAAAGGTTTCGTTAAGTCAGTCTTCCAATTTAGACGTTATTCTTTTGTCTTGTCTGAAAAATGGTACAAGAAACGTGGGCTGTGGGACCAAAAAACAAACCCAAACGGAACCGAAATGAAACAGTTTCTTCTACATACTGCAATATGGATTACAAAATGAAAAACTACATAAAAAAATCTTTTAAACTATTTGATTTCCAATTAAAGCTTTAAATTTTGGTTTTTTGGGAGTAGAAATGATCCGACACTACATATGAATATGTGTGTGTGTTAATTTCATTTGCGGAATTATTAATCTCTGTTTTCACAAAATGACATGGAATTTAAAATAACTTACTATAACATAAAACCCTTTTGCTAATAATTTTAAATGCTGTTTTTTAAATACCACATTTTTAATTTTTTGTTCCAAAAATACAATCACTAGCTTTTTTCCAATAATACCTACAAATTTAATATTAAAATTAATTAAAATCTCTTTTAAATAGTGGGAATATATATCCTAAATTTGAAATAAGGAACCAAAATATATTTTTTAATTAATTTGTAATTTCTTTTAGTTGAACAAATATTTTTATACAAAATTGTGGTACTATTGAAAAAATAAACTAGTTTTGTTCTTTCGGAAGAAAACTCAATAATTTGATATTCTAAGATATTTTCTAATTTTAATTGTAATTTTTGCTTGTATATCTTTTTTTCTCTCAGCCCTTTCGGCAATCTCTGCAGATCGCTCGGCCTGATCTGCAGTCTGTTCGTTCTTCAGCGTTGTTTTCTCATCCGCTTGCTGTTAAGGTTTCTTTGCCGTTCACTCTCTTCTTCTGAGGTAGCCAATAGATAACAGTTTCTAGATCCATGTAAACTAGTCACATAACTATAGTCACATAACTAGTCACGTAATAGATTTTGCACTCACATTATATTCTTAATTTAATAGATTTATTTTGCATGATACTAGTCCAAATTTTGCACCTAAAAATTAAAAACATATAATCCACTTACGAAGAATACGATGTAATTGACACTTGGCATTTGGCACAAGTCTTCATGTTTTCGGGATAACAAAAAATAATGTTGCACTAATTCATGTCCGTAAATGTAATTAGTAGTAGTCAATGGACTACCATATATTTTATTATTGTTTACTTACACGCAAATGTAATTAGTAGTAGTTGAATTATTTGACTTGAAATATCGAATATTACCCTTATGTTTTTAGTTCACATTTTTGTTTGGCACATTTCTCTCAAAATATTTTTTGACTAATTGTTTATTTTTAAGTTTCTAATATAGAATATCTAACTCTTAATCCATTTTTCATATATTTTCATGTTTTCATTTATTTTCTCTTTCTCTCTCGATATACATTAAATTCTTATAATTTCTTTTGATTTATCTTATTAACAAATATATTGAAGAAAATATGCTAAACATATTTCATACAACTTTCTTCTCACACATATATAAGATTAATTTAAACATAATTTATATTGAAAAAGGCTATAATTTATGGAGTTTATAGAAATCATGATATTATTCTTAATTTTAAAAAGAAATCTAATCGCAATACATATTTTTAAACAAATCAGCATATATATATTTTTAAAGATTTATGATGGTTAAATATTTTTTTAGTTTTTTTTTGTTAACAAATATTATTATTGTATATTAATATATTATTGTATATTAATATATTATTGGAGCTTCTCAACTGAATACCACCACTTCACCATTGAATGCAGAAGCAAAGACTCTACTTGCAGAGATGCACCAAACTTAGCTCAGGGGTTATAAGTAAATAATCTTCGAAAGAGTATGTGAGATACTCACCAAGTTAATCAATGGTCAAGCCTATGATATTTCAATTGATGGTCTTTATCATGATATTCTACAATGGGCTACAAGATTTGTTCACATCACCTTTGTTTTTACTAAAAAAACATTGTAATAAGATAGCACACTTTTTAGCTAAGCATGGATGTATATCTACTATTTTTTCTCTGATAACATGTACCCACCTAGTTGGGTGGCTGAACATTTGTATCACGATTTTTCAAATTCATAAATATGATTAACAATTTCGACAAGAAAAAAAAAATATGACACTTGTAAAAAATATTTTTATCTCCGCCACTGATTTGGAATTGGTCAACTTAAAGATGTTAAGAATACGTACTTCCTACACTTTATTTTAATTTATGAACTATAGAGTAGCAATGTTCAAAAAAACTTCCTTTCTCGCTTACACCTGTACGTGGAATGCATTTCTTTCATTTACAAGCATTTCAGTCTCGTTTTGGGTAATTGTGGATGTTTGTCTGGTCAATAAAAAAGTGTATTAAAAATAAAACTTTAGAAAATATCTAAAATGTAAAATCTATATAAAAGTAAAATATCTTCATTTCCTCAATTCTATACAAAAATAAATATACATAAACAAAACCGTATGATCATTATGAGATTCAAAAATTAATGCACATATAACGTTTTCTTATTTGAATTGTAGAACTTCAGCAGTCAACATCAACCAAAAGTTCTTTAATATCTTATTAAAGTCTATAAATATCTAAATAAATAGAAATATCTCAATTTGTAAAACGTTACTGATCAAGGTTCTCAAGTGCTTCGTTATAAGTCCCTTTGATCTCATCCTACAACTCCTCAAATTTACTTTAAGCACGAGATCTCTTTTCAATACTCTTTATTTTCCGGTGAGGCCAACGCAACAACCCAATTTTCTGCAAAGTTTATTTACCACATCTGCGTAAAGATTCATTTTTTATGCTTCTTCTTTAGAAAGAGGAAAGTGGATAAATGTTGTTCTTCTCGTTATATTCACACGATCATTAAAAAAGTGGCAAAAATGAATCTTTTCCCTACCGTGGCAAAGAAAATTTTGTAGGAAAAAAAAAAAATGTAGGAAAGAAGGTTTATTATGTTGGCCTCATCGGAAGATTAAGAGTATTCAAAAGTAGATGAATGTTTTCCCATGCAAGCCTTGCGTTGGACGTTTAACAATCTTTAACGTTTGCAGTTCAAACCATCAATGTTTTTCAAGAAGTTTTGATGATACTAAAAGATGATTTTACAACAAAAACACTAATCGCCTAGCAACTAAGCAATTTGATCAAGATACTAATTCATATCTTTCCATGGACCTTGTAATCTTTGTATCGTTCAAGTTGAATCGGAAGCAAACGGATCTTGTCTTGGTTTTCTTTGTTCATCTTTTTGTCTCTCATACCTCTTAATTTGATATTTCGAGTTACTGCGCGCCTTTGGTTGGTAAGTAGGCAATCGGGTTAACCGAAAAAAACCATCCAAATAATTAGAAACATGGACACAGAAAGAGACATTTGAGTAATTCACTGCCATGTCCCGAAAATAATGCGCTGAAGGATTTGCAATGTTTTCCTCTATACATCATTAGCTTAGACTTGTACACATCGTTTCCACAACAAAACAGATAACTAGACTTTTTGACAGAATGAGTCGAAGCAACTTCTTCTCCTTCTCAAACTCAATCCAACACATATATGTTATTCTTTCACTATGCAGTAGTTATACTTTTCGACACCACTTATCTTAGTTACTTGTAAATTGAAAGCATAGCTCTAATTCTATCTGCTAACAGATTCAAATATGCTCTTCTTTCTAAAAAAGATGTTCTTATAATTTGAGGGAATCCCCGATAAAAATTCACTGGATAGTGGATACACATGTAAAATTCAATATGAATTTGATCAAGCTAATAAACGACGCCGCAAATTATCTTTAATACTCTATAAATAAAACGACTTAGTCAATATTGTGGGCTTCGTGTTTTATGATGGGCCGATATTAAATAAAAGAAGAACGGAAACATTGGTTTATAATAGTCCAGTCCACTCGAGATATTTATGAGTTTTCTTACCATATGAACTGAACTAAAACTGAATGTAGTGCAACCAAACGAAATTGAACAAAATAAATCTAAATTCATGTGAATCTGATCACGAAATTTCAGACAAAAACAAAGAATTATATAATTAAGTATTAAACTGAAAGTTCAAAGTTGTATATGACAACATTTAGCGCCAGTTGCATATAATAAGAGTGAGAAGTCGGTAAATTGCGCACTCATTCTTCTTTTCTTCTTCTTTCTACTCATTTTTATAGCTCTTCATCTGTTTCATAATAGAAGATAAATTTTGTTTCGTTTTATTTATATAAGATTTCTTACAAGTTTTTATGCAAAATTTATCTATTGTATGCAAACAAAAATCTAATGGACAATCAATAATCTTTTAATCTTTTTAAAGTAGAAAACCGGACATCGAACAAAAATAAAACACCACAAATAGATAATCGATAGAGATAAATGAAAATCGGCAAACAAAATATGATTTAAA